TCCAACCTGGGCACATCATCCCACAACGTGTTGTTGGCAAGCTTAATGTTATCCCCCCTCCCCCTTCGAGCCTAGTTTAAAGCTCTGTCAATGAGCCCCGCTAGTTCCTGGGCAAAGATCCTCTTCCCCCTTTGAGAGAGATGAATCCCATCAGGGTGCATCAGGCCCAGTGCCGTGTAGGCCGCCCCATTGTCAAATAACCCAAAGTTGTGGCGTTGACACCAGCCACAGAGCCATGCATTTATGGACTGCGTACGTCTGTTCCACCCACCACTGCTGCCCTCAACTGGAAGGAGGGAGGAGAATATTACCTGCGCTCCCGATGTTGCACAGAACATATTGTCATTGTGAAGATAAACCAGCACTATACTTACTTCTCTCACACTGGGACTGTCCATTCAGAGGAGGATGACAGGGACCTGGGAAAAAATAAGTATATGATTGTATCATTAAAAACAGAGAGAAAATATCCAGAAGCAGCATCCCATTAAAGAAAAAAACAAAACGAACAACATTATGTCACTTGCTAGAATCTTACTGGCAGACTAGCTGTTTTATCAGGTTAAGAGGCTACTGTCATGGCTAAATATTCCTACTGTATTCAACTCAAGCAGCACAGATGCATGAAGGGAGCCACCACTGGAACTTTAGCCATTTCAGTGAAAATCTGGTGTCACAGGCTAAACCAGCAAAGAAGGAGGCTTCCAGTTACGGCAATGTACTTGGCATTGAAACAGTCATGAATTAATTCATGTTCTGTGGGGATATGGAAGATACATATGATAACTTCTTGTCACAGAAAACTTTGCCTGAGCTTGTGTGTCAGCATCTTAACCTCCATAAATAATTAAAAGACCTGTTTTCCAAAGGCATTTAGGCACCTAAAGGCAGCTAATGAGACGGGGGGGGGGGGGGGGAGACACAAAAAAAAAAAAAAAAAAAAAAAAAAAAAAAAAAAAGGAAAGAGAGAGAAAAAGTTATTTGCCTAATTCCCAGTCAGGAATCAGGAAATCAGGCGAATTTTTTCTAATCTGTATCCTTGGAAATCTGCAATCAGGTAATTTATTAACATTGGATTTAGTCTATTAAAACCTGTATATCTTTCCCTGAACTCTGTGCACACCGGAGAAATAAATTTGCACAGGCAGCCTTCATTCTGGCATTTCCTAGTTTTCTAATCCTAGTCTTTGTCTTCCTGAGAAATTGACACAATTTTCATGCATGACAAAGAACCTACCAGTGTTAGTAAAACATAAGATTTTACATTAATAATGACAGAATTTTCATTCACAGTTATACTTTACTGAAAAACATACGTGATTTCTACCTTGTTACCCTGAATGGTCACCCTATCTGACAATTTAAGTATTTTTCACTCTTTTCTTGTTCCTCATACAGCTTTTATCTCTTCAAAGATTTTTTCTGTTTTGATCATTACAGACTGCTACAACAAACCCCCACAACTTTAACTATTCTATCTTTTCTAAGATATCTGTTTCCTTATATTTCAATTACTGGTGATCTGGTGTTTCATTTACTCCGGCTTTCTTTATAACTTTTGTTACCTTATTTAGCCCTTGAAAACACCCACAGGGAATATTACCTCAGCATCTTATCAGAACTGTAAGACTGAGGCTACAGTTTGTGTGTGCAATATGCTATTACAGTATCTTCATGAGGGCTTCCTGCATATACCAGGTTAATATTTACTGATGCGCTAATGTAACAATGACCTATCTGCCTCTGCTCCTCTCCGGGGTACTTTCTATCTATAGGGATGGGAATTAATGACAGTCTCTCTGTGCTGCCTGATGTCAGAGCTGAGAAAGGTGTGAAGGGTATATAAGAGCCGTATTACTTGTCAGCAAGGAAGGGGGAAAAGGGATACTCCAGAGCTAGATGCAAGCGTGGAACTGTTGCGTGCACCCTTCTTGCTAACACAGGCGTGCTTCTTCAGTTAGCTCTCTGACCACTAAAAGGTAAACAATTTCCCTTTTTTTCTTACTTAAGATGCAGTGCAACAGATGTGCTTTCAGGAAAGCAAACTGTTTCTCAATATTAATCAACAGCATTTTTCAGGAAAAGGCTAAGATGACTTCAAGGTAAATTGCACCTGGGACCAGCATTTGAGACTGGGATGTGTCGGGAAATGCAAACCAGAGATAAGGGAAAGGATTGAAACTACTAGGTGGAAAATGAACATTTACTGTTGAGAGCTATCTGTCTGAAACTGCATTGTGTCACTAAACTTAAGGGGATCATTTTTTTACTCTAGCCTGTGAAAAAGACTAGTTGCTGTTGATTTAGGACAGAATGAGCATCCATAATAGTATATGCTGAAGAGTATTTGGGTTTGCTTTCAGTTTTGAATCATTATTCTTTTCAGAAAGTTTGGAAGCAAAGATGTACAACCTAAAGCTGTCAGTTTTCTTCATTGCACTTTCTGTCACTCTGAGCTGTTTGGAAGCTACACCTATTGAGAAGTGAGTAATAAATAACCATGTTGATTTCCTTTTAGGGGAAAACATGTTCAGATTATTGCATGAATTGCTTTTGCTTTCATGTGTCAAATTATATGAGCAAAAATAGAATTATTCAATTTCACAGGGTATTTTATTCTTGTTTAAAGATTACTATCTGTGGCTGATGATCTCTCTGATGGTACTTCCAAGAGACAAGGATGGATATTGCCAGTGATATCACAGAATACACTCTCAGGACTTAGTGAGGAAATGCCAGAACAACCAGCAGCAAAGACAAAAAGGTATTGATTTTCTTTGATTCTTCTAGTCATATCAGTTAGGATTAAATTATGAAGTAAACTTCATGCCAGTGATATTCTGTTACTTGAGACTCTTTGTGTCTGTTTTTATTCTCAAGAAGAGCCTAAAATACCCTTCTTGTTGTATAATAGAGCCATTCTGTAAGTATAAAGATCAAAGCATCCAGGGTAGAAAGTGAAATACAGAGACAAAAATTGCAGATCATTTAACCACTTTACAATTATAATGCTTTCATAAATGAAAAAGGCTACAAATACTACATTACCTCAAGGAGAAAGGTGTGTTTTGAAAGGCTTTCTTATTTAAATTTGTCTCATTTCCAAGCCTGAAGGGAAAAAAAAAGAAACTATACCCTTCTTAATAACACTAATGCTCTGCTAGAATGGAATTATTTTATAACATAGGTACTTCCTATAAGTAAGCAATTTTTCATTTCAGAGATAAATATCAATTTAATTATGGGAAGAAGGAAAAGAAGCAATTGGCTCCAATAGAATTTAACTAATCCAAAAAACATTCATGTTTATAAGTCCATAAATCCAATTTCAGGTAAATTTTAATTAATAAAATAGTATTTCAAAAAGTATTTGCAATTTATAGTAAAAAATAAAAAGCACTGGACTATTCCAACCGTTATCAGGCTTCTGAGTGAATTTCTTTCAATGACAATTCTGTTAGGGATAGATTCAGTAAATACACAAGTTCTGTATAGTTGCCTGATCCTTTCTCTCCAAATTTATATTAAAAAAAAGATCACTATTATATGAAAATTTGGTTATCTTCCAAAATATTTTTATAATGGAGACTAAGTTCCCACATTTTTACAGCTATTACTTTTTTAAAAAAATTATTGTAATATTCAAACACAAGGCAACACCTTTATGAGTATGGTATGCCTTATCTGCTTTTCTGTAAACCTTTTCTGGTTTACAGTCTCTTACTGGGTGAACTGTGTCATTGATGCATGTATTCAATGAAAGGCTGCAGATCAGAGAGCTAAAAGGTATAATGGGTTCAGTCAGGCTAGACATCAGCTAGAAATCTAGGAGCTTCCTGTAAGGACTGCGTTTTAAACTTGGAGTGTCAGGGCTTGATTTTGTACTTCTAACAAAAAAAGAGAACTCTGCCTCCACAAAAAAATCAGGATTTCCATGAGAACCAGTTGCTACTTGAAACTCATATGTTAAGGGCTTGATTAAACTCTTTTTAAATCAATAGAAATACCCATGGAAACCTAAGAGAAGCTATATCAAGACCCATCCAACCATTTCCTTTAAATACAATTACATATTTAAAATATTAATTGCTCAGAAATTGCTGCCTATTTGCCGATGAAGAACCAGTATAATACAGACATTTCTCTCACAATTGCTATTCCATTTGGATTCTTAGGTTAATACAAATAACTCTGAAAGAATAGATGACATTTTAGGTAGTAGATTTAGTCAATCAATAGGAAAATGTTCATATTGCTCAGAGTTTGAAGCTGGAAAATCATCACTCTTCATTGTAAATTTTTGCTGCACACTGTTGTCTACCTCATGCCACATCAACATGAAGAAGCTCAAGAAAATTAACGATAACTCAATAAGCAATCTCAGCAAGCAAGTATTTCTGTCTGAAGGAACATAGTGGTCTAAAAAACAAGTTTGAAAACTCAAGCTCTCTCAAGCTAACCATTCTATTGTGATTTAAAAAATAAATAAATCCAATGCTACATAAGTTCTACATGGAGTTCTGTAAATAGTCTGCTGGTTCCGACCGTAAAATGTTCTTTTTAGATGTGGATTCTTCCATGGACACTCTTTAAAGTCTCATCCAGCAAATTATCATCTACCACAATAGCACTTTCAAGTTGCTGGTGTTTCAACAAAGATGTGGCAGCTTTTCAGTAGTGAAGAGATCTCTGTTTAGACAGAGGTAAATCTTAGGTGGTACTGAAGTCAGCAGAAGTTGGAAACGCCTGCCACCTCACATGATACGTGGTGCAGTTGGGAGAAAGTGTTTTTGGGCACAATCCACTTGATGTGGACTGGAAGATTACAGTTCACTTCAGTGACAGCGGGATATGGTTCTGTGGGAACAAGAAACCTAAATAAATGTTAGTGATTGTCATTATGTTAGTAATTCTCATGATATCAGCAAGAGCTCTAAATAGATTTAGAACTTCAGCTTAAAGCTAAACATTTAGTCAGTGTTTTCACTTACTGTCTTAACTATGCTATCATTACAGGTTTTCTAGATGTCATAAACTGCTATGTAGAATATCAATAAAAAATGACATATGACTGTTAAGGTCTTTGCATTTAAATAACCCTCATCATTAAAACTGATAATAGCATATAGCACAAGATTTTTTTTCAGGCACAAAGTAGGTGGTAGGAAGATTGTAATGTTCCTGTATTTGTGCACATATTAAAAGAACTCCCACATTAGCACAGCTCAAATGACTATTAGAAGTGGCACAGTTGATTGCTCATCATTTGGCTTTTAATCTTGGCTCTTTTTGTTTTGCCTTAGTAGTCACCACCTAGAGAAACGGAAATGCAACACCGCTACATGTGTGACACAACGCTTGGCTGACTTTTTAGTTCGTTCCAGCAACAACATCGGAGCAATATATTCACCTACAAATGTGGGGTCCAATACATATGGAAAGAGGGACACAGTTGGGCTTTTAAGCAGAGAACCCCAAGACAATGCACAGCTTTAGGATGTTAAAATGACTACTGATACAGTTTTCATTAGGAGCTCAGTTTTTAATGTATCAATAACCTTTTAGTCATTTATTACTTGTACAGTCTTAACAGTGCCTTGTTTTCTGTGTGTGTGTATGTGATTTATGTTCATCATTTCACTATGCATGTACACTGACATGCATAGGCTATTGTTTCAACTCCATTAAGAACTCCAGAAATCTGCTTGTCAAATTCCCTTGTAAAATAATTAAATACATATCACGATAATAAATGGAAAAGTAATTGCAAGAGGGCTTTTTACTAGTATTATCATTATCATTATCATTATCATTATTATTATTAAAAGGATGAAAAAGATAACCATGATGTGAATGTCTTTATAGTCACAGTTTGGTAAGAGAAATAAATCATCTTATTTAAGACTAACAAAAATTGGAATGCTAACAGAAGTTAGGTCCTAATGAAAGTAAAATAGAAGAATCTTCTGGTTTTGAAACATCTACAGCATCTTGTTTTGTACAATTGAAGGAAGAACTAGATGAGACAAGATGGCTGCATTGTGCATATGATTATACCAGTTAACTGACGGATCTATTTACACCTTAATGTGCATTAAGCAAGTAGAAGGTCTCGTGGCACAGATTTCTGTACATACTGAGCATGGGGTTTTAAGAATTTACACTTCTTACTTTAAGATGGTATTAGTAAAATGTAAGCATAATGAGCATAACTGCTTTTAAATATGAATAAAAGAAAACTCAGTTAATAAGCTAGCAGAAACACCTGTCCTTGGGTATTCCTTTCCTTGAACTAGAGTAGCAAAGGGAAGAGACAAAAACAACGAGCAGTTCAGGCATCAAAACTTTCCATAGAAACAGGGTAAATTTACCTGCTGGCATACTTACATTGCTACCAAAATCCAAGAAAACTAGTTTAGAGATGGGCGGACCTTAATGGAAATTTGACAGTGTCATTTTCTCCTACCTCAGCCCAGTATCAGTGCAGGCTTAATAAACATGCTTGTTCCTTTAAATTGTTAAGCAAATTTTCATAGAGGTGACATCCTAAATCACAGCAATGGTTGTTTTGTCCGTTTTCTCAGAGAAGTGTTCACTATCATCTGAAAACATTACTGTCCAATTATGGAAAACATTCAGCAGAAGCTTAGGGCTGGAGAAGCAAATGAAATCTTAATAATTGCCTTTGACTGATTTGTTTCTGTTACAAAGAATGCCTCAAAATATAAACATTTTTGCTAAATTTAATGTTAAATGGCACATTCATTTCACAAATAATACATGGGAATAAAAGTTACTGCACAGAATTCTCTCTTTTTGTTGAGAAAAGTTTCAATCTTCATTGATGTTCTAAGGGATATTTATTCTGAAAGTTATTGAGAAAACCACTCAGTTGGTATTAAACTTGTCTAATATTTCTGCCCGTGTGAAATGCTTTCCATTCAAGTGACTTTTGAGATATATTATACACTCATTGTGGGCTTAATTTGTTTTTCAGCTAGAATATTTACTTTTCAGAAAAGAAATGAGAAAGTGACAGGATAGTTCTGAAGTGTCACTGTGATGTTGTTTGTACAGATGAGTAACCAAGTGGAGTCTTCACTGTGGGTGGACGCTGATATCTAGGCTGATCCCAACCTGAAATACGTACAATGCTTTACGGATCAGCTTTTGCTCTTTAAGCTACCATTTGACAATCAAAACAAAGCACAGACTGTCTATGCATAGGTTCAGTGGAACTGTATACATGATTTTCTGCCTTATGTACTCCTGAACCTGATGGATGTGATACTTACATCTATTTAACATGTTTGCTCTACTTGGCAAATACTGAAAAATGTTACTCATCTCCCAAATCAGTGAAACAACAGAGAGGGATAAGAGATATATCAATAGTTCAGAGGGGGACCATCTCGCCTATCTTTACCTGCTTTTTGTCTAACCAGTTGTCAGTGCTCTACTGCTATTTGGTGGAGAAAGATAGCTACTTCCAATTCATCCCAGCTTAGATATCTATTTTAGGATGGGATGAATCACACTCTTGAAGTGCCTCTATTTCTTCACTGACAATACAGTGTCTAGACAATTAGCTGAAAATGGGCACTTGAAGATAACTAGAGTTAGGTGACACGAATCCCACCTGCAGTTGGTACAAAAAAAGGAAAAAAGGTTTGATTCAAAAAAAAAAAAAAAAAAAAGGAGCACCTCAGGCTCCAAATCATCAGAGTGATCAACTCTCATATTCTAAACTACATTAGTTAATTCATGAGCTGGATCATCTTGAGAAACTGCCTACACTGAGACTTTTTTCCCCGTATATACCCTTGAGAAGACAACTCTGCTACCCTCCCTCCTGCTGTGTAGTTACTGCTGACTGCACTTTTAGATCTCTTATAGAAGAAGGATCTATTCACGGTAAGCCTGAATACAAGCACAATCCTGAGAGTACGAGCCAGGAAAAGAGTGATATAAAAGGGGCGGGGTGGGGGGACACAGGCATCAGTTAAACATGAATTCATCAGAACCCCAAACAGCATAACTTCAGACATTCCAGAATATGAAGACTGCTAGGTGAAGCCTAGTTAATTAACAAAAATTAAGTGCCTCCATACATTTTTAAAAATGCATATATATAGGTATATATGCATATATATTTATCTCCATCTTTAGGGATGTAAATCTTTTTTGAGAATCAGGTCTTACATAGCTTTGATTCTTTTTCAATTCATCTGGATGCCTGACATCTTTCAGAGAATATGCAAGAAAACAAAAAAATACAAAAGAGGAAAATCAAGAATTAGACAATGTGATAAACATGGCTATATTCCCTTTAAAAATAAAAATACTAAATCTCTGGTTTTTAGTATCGTCTATTACATTGTCTTTAAAAGGAATAGAATAGGGACATAATATTGAATTTCACTAAATGAGAGGGGGAAGAATAAAAGTCATCAAACAAGCAAAAGGAACGTTAAAAAAAAAAGATGACATGAACATGAAGAATGTTTTAAATGGAGTAGTGGGCCCTAGGGTCTAATATTTCTCAGGAACTATGACAGCATCATAAAAGACAGAATTTATATTTTTTCATTATGAATAAAGTTGAGGTAAGAAGTTGATTTCACTTTTAAAAGCTTGGCCTAAAACTAAGAAAGCACACAATATTCATGCAACATAAAATGCACTTTTACTGAATAGTAAATTTTGAATGAATACTTTCAATTTCTATACGAAAATATAAATATTTTTCAAATAAATAAGATTCTTGTTGAGAGCTTTAAACACTAGGTTGGCAAAGCTTCCATTCACTTTCAACAGGATAATGTTATTAGCAAGTCTGGATTTTACTGAATGGCTTTCTAAAACTATTTGAAAGTTAATACATTGATACTATGAATAAAATCCATTTCCTGTAATGCACTATTGAATATCTTCAGTAGCTGCCATCTTCACTTTCTAGGATTATGCTGGGTTTGAGTCAATTGACTCACAAATACAGTCTGACAGGTATGGTAGACTCTTTTTGTTGAGAGTTACAAGGTTAAGTAATTTTGTTGTTTGACTTCGTTATCATATAGAAAAGGGACTGCTCTACATTGCTTTTGCAATGCAGCTAGCAAGAAGCTGTGGTTAGGTATGACACATCTCCTTGCTGTACACAGAATATAAAAATAATGGTTGAACTAACATGAAATAGAAGCTTTCTATGGGATATGACAACTTGTGTTTCAATCATCTTACTGTTATCGCTATTTTTTTCCACAAACAAAAACTCCTATACTGAAAAATAAGATATTTTTGTGAAGCTGTGTAAACTTCAATAACCAGACTCAAACTCAGACCTGAAACCCACCATTTAAACTAAGCTTCAATTTAGGAACAAATTCCCCAAAAATTTGGATTCTCTGCTGGCTGACCAGTTTTTCTGAAATTAGACAAATTGGTTTCTGGCTTCAGTTGCTATGAAAACTATATATCCTTAATTAGATCCAGTTAAGAAGTGTTTCTCTAACTAAAACTTATCTTCATATCAAAATGTTAAAAAAAATTCTCAAGCTAGGAATCATATATGCCATCAAAAATTGAAAATCATGACATCAGAAGCTCGCTAAAGAATGAGACAATGGCGATAAGACAATAGTTAAAACTGCTGTTCATTATGCAACAAATTTTCTCCTTCAATGCTAAAACATCTGAACAAAAAGAATACATTCATATGCATTTTAATCGTAACAATAGGGCTGATCTGAGTAACCATCATGTGATAAAGTCACTATTTCCTAGAAATGCTTTTATAAATACAAAATCAGTTTAATTATTCAAATGAGGAATCTTAGATCTGCCTCTATTTTAATAACAATTTTCCTCTACATTAAAAGACTCCTTTAGATCCAGCATTAGAGAAAGTGAAACTGTTTCTTATAGGCTATTTTACAATATCCTTAATATAAATGATTACTGCATATGTAGCCTGAGATCTGCTGCGGAATAACTGGTAACACCAAAACTGATAGAAACTGATCGAACTGAATTTTTTTAAGTCCCAAGTTTTGATTAGCGTATGATCTATGTGATGGGCTGTTTTCTTTTGTTTTTGTCAAAAGGAATTAAAATACTGGGATATATTAAAATAACTGGAGTTGTATTAAATAGATCATTACATGTGTGAATTGAAACAGTTGGAATAATTTTGGAATTAAATGCTACCCAATATGATTAAAATATTATTAAAACCAAAAGTTGCTTATTATTTACACTGTCAACAGAGGCAGATCACTTTGTTCAAACAGAATCAGTCCTTATTCATGAAGCAGGCCCTTTGGAAGGGGTCAAAGTGGGACTTGCCTCCACTAAGGGAATTGTGTAAAAATGTAAATAGCCTGTGATTGTCAGTCCAGCACTGAAGAAGCTGAGCTACTTAACTCTCAGAATATGGGTCATTTTTAATCACCATTCTTGGACAACGTCATTACTTATGTTGCATATGGAACATACAGGAAGGAGAGATGAAAAAACTAAGATCCTGGGACAATATATTCTTTCTTTCAGAGAAAATACAGATTTCAAGCAGCCTGAGAGAGTGGGAGATGTTTGAGTGGATCTTAGGAGGAAAGATTGCCTCACTGGTCCAAGCACCGCTTCAGGTTTCAGGATGACCACATAGCAGTATTAGAGAGATCAGAAGTTGCTACCTCCACTATAACAATGATTTTCACACCCAGAGCAAGTTAGCAGGACCAGCACTTTCTGATCCTGTTCTGGATGCA